AAAAAAAAAAGTCAAATCCAAAACTACCTTAGATCTCTTTCGTTTAGCATTAAAAGTTTGTCCACAGTCCACAGTTCAAAAATGAATATGATAAGACAAATGGCCTATTACAATGTACAACACCGGAAAGGAGGAACTACTCTAGATATATTGCCTCTGAGGCTCACATCAAAAAGCATTACACATTAATTTCATGTGAGATTCATAAATTAGATTGAATAAAGATTATCTAGTACATAGAAAAGAAATCTTTGGCGTTATACCTGTAATCTATCAACTTTCCTTCACGCTGACCTTTAGAGTCCAAGCGGTGTCTCATGTCTAAATGATTTCTTGGTTTTTCCTGTGTGATTTAAGTCAGTACTTACCAAAAAATTGCACAAAGCAATCACGTGAGATAGTGTCTAACTGAAACCCATGCAAGTGATTGCTCATTTAAAATGAAAACATATATACATATACATATACATAGACATAGACATAGACATATACATATATATCTTGTAGAGCAACACATTTCCTACCCGTAGCTGACAAAGTTTAATTTTACTCCTCTGCTAGATATCTCAAGTCAGCAATTTAATTTCCGAAACTAAAAATCTTAATTCAACTAGTGAAGCCAATGCCTCATCCTAACGTAGAACAAATTTCCGTTTCTGTCTATTCACGTTTCATCACTAAATCCCAGTACCACATATCCAACCCATACAAAGTCTTCCTGGCCTTTAAATTCAGACCCAATTGTCAGAAATTGGTGTCCATCTGAATGCCTAATCTCTTTATGAGCATGTTCAGCTGAGCTTAAAAAGTTCACTTATAAGTAAACTTAATTAAAAGTAAACAGGTTTTAAAATAAATAAATTTTTTTACTTAAAAGCATGACAAAAAAGTAAGTTACCCAAACATATTCTGGGACAAAATGTATTTTATTTTCTTCCTCAGCTTCCATTTTCAGGTAGGTTATTTTCAGATTATCGTTAAACCTAACTGAAAATTATTACACATTTTTGAAATTCGAAGTATTCAACTATAATAAGCAGGTAAAGGAGCATAATTTTTACTGTGATAACATAATCAAACCAAACAAGAAAAGCAACCAAAAAGAGAGAAAACACTCTTACATTCATGAGTCCGCGCTCTAGCTCCTCCTGCAAACAATGAACATTTAATAATAATAATAATAATAATAATAATAATAATAATAATAATAATAATAATAATTTACTAACAATTATTAATAAAATCCTTCAAATTATAACATTAGGATCGAAATCAAATAAACTAAAATCATAATTACTGATTGCAAAGATCAAATATATAGATTAAAAATACTCACAGCAATAGTATTGCAAGCGGCACATTTATCATCAATGCAGTATACGGAAGACGCGAAAATGACAAAAATTACGAGGAAAACTGATTTCAAATTTGTAATCATCATTTCATACGTCTTTCTTGGGGAACTCCGTTTGATTTGATCGCTGTTAAACCTCAGTTCTGCTCAAAATATATTTTCGATTGCGATTTAAAATGGAAGATAAATAAATAGCACGTCAGCCGAGATTATGTGGTGTCATAACCAATAAGAATCTGCCACCTGGAAATTGGCTTGAAGATCAACGTGTCTAATAAATACCATAGCGGAACCTTTTTTGCCTATTTGATAGCTCTTTCTTTTATGATACACGATGTCA